ATAATAAAAATCACAAAGAAAGAAAGAAAGAAAGAAAGAAAGAAAGAAAGAAAGAAAGAAAGAAAGAAAGAAAGAAAGAAAGAAAGAAAGAAAGAAAGAAAGAAAAAGAGAGAGAAAGAGAGAAAGAGAGAGAGAAAGAAATGGAGGAAAGGAAGAAAGAAAAAGGAAAGGACTATCACAACAAAACAATGGTCATTGGCTATGGCAACTTTATCTAGAATGTTCTCTTTGAAGTCCTTACTGAGGGCAGTCTCTATGACACAGTAAAGTCAAAGCCTGCCAGGAATGGATCCAGAAGAGAGACAGGAAATGGAATCACAATCTGTAAACAAGTCTTCAAAATATTTGTTGTGACATAAGCCAGGAGAAATAGGACAGCACCAAAGGACCAGTGGAGTCAGGAGAGTTCTTGGTTTTGGGTTTTGTTTTGTTTAGATGAAGGATGTTAAAGCATATTTACATACTAATGAGAGTGATTAGGCAGACTAGAAACCGATTATGCAGAAAAGAAGATAATCACAGAAAAAGACTGAAGAGGTAGGTTTGTTGATATTGAAGCAAAGTAGAAATGTTACTTTTTAAAAGAACAGGTGCATAGAACTCCAGTGCAAGGGACGGGACTGTGCAATATGCAGCTAAATTGGTAGGACTGTGGTAGAAAAGCAAAATGTTACTATGTGAGTAGTTTGATTAGACCAAGAAAAGTCAATGTTGGGGTTGCGAAGGAAGTGTAGTTTGAAAGAGAAATATATGTTATTAAAGTAGGAAAGTGAATATATATATATATGTATACAATTTATACATATATATTTGTTTGGATTTTATGTATAGTAAATAGTAGGGAAAATATTTCAAAGGCATCTTCATCAAATATTTTAAAATATATTATTAGAAGACCCAACACTTTGTTTTATAAGAACTCTAATGAGTCTTCTCTGCCCAGATAGTAGAGATGGAGGGCTTTCAAGCATACTAGTATTTCTTCTGTTTTCTTAGTTATGTTTGCCTATTGCAGAGTAAATGGCAGAAACATTTGGCACATATTCTATTTCAAAAGCTATGAAATTACAAATAGTTTAGTCTTGAAAGGCCTATAGTGTTTATTTAGCCTGACAATATTATCAGATACTATTCGGGGGGGATTTTAAGCTTCCATCTAAATTTTAAAAAGAAATAAAAGTAGGTATGCAAATATTAACTATTTAGAAGAATTTATTTTGGATTTGTTTCCACACAGAAAACACTAAAATATTTTGTCATTTAGAAGTAGATGGGCAATACTACGAGGTTGTTTTGTTCATTGTCCCTCTTAACAGAAAGGATTTTTTAAAAAAGTGCTTGGTGCTTCGTTTCTGGAAAAGCTGTCTGTATGCAATGTGTGGAAATGTAAAGATGAATCTTTCTTCTCTGGGCTTCATGTAAAATTAGATTGTGACTAATGGGATAAGATTTTTCTCCATATTTTTTGCTGTTCTAGTATAACAAATACAAATATGTAAGTATACATGTAAATGCCTATTTGCTTAAACACTTTAGATATTTAAATGGTCACTCCAAATTTTAAATGTTAGGCATTTTCAATGCACTTAAAATATTAATTACAAAAGTCTTTGTGGCACAAATCCTAACAAATAATACTAAAATGTGTATTTCTATAAAATACCTAGATAACATCTGTCTAGAATGAGTTCTTTAATCCCTCAGAGAGATTATCTTTTCCTTCCATAAGTTAAAGACTTGTAAAGTCTTTTTTTTTTTTTTGTCAACTGAGTTGAAGTTATTTCTCATCAAATGTTCAGCACTATAGGCATCTATTCTTGCAAGAGGGCGTATATCTGTCTGTGACAACAAGAAGGGGTAGCACCATATCATGTTTTCTCAATTTGGAATCATATCGTTACTTAGGGCATATACGTTTCCTCCCGGGCTGTTTTTACAGTCCATGTTTTCTTTTGAGTTGTAGTTACAATATGGTAGAGACACAAATGCAGCAAAATGCGTTACCCGAAATGCAATCCCACCTACTACCTACTTGACTATAGCAGTGAAGTATTCCAGTTTCATTGGAAGGTGGTACTATTTTCATCTTATAAAAATCTACTATAATATTCCATGTAAATCTTCATGTGCTGGCATGCATACAAGTTAATAGTGTTATAGAATGTCCAGCTCTCATAATAAACAATATAAGAGATTGTTTATGGTGAATTCTATTATATATGCCATCTATTTGCTGGAAGGATATGGTGTTTAGCAAAACAATCTGCTGAGCAACATAATAAGATCTTTGTACAAAGTACAAATTGCTAATTATTGTATTTTATTTTTCTATGATTTCCTAAAAGGCACTATCAGGGTCTTACAGATGGAGAAAGCCTGTTTATTAAAATATCTATTACCAAATAAAAGTTACAGTTTTGGTGGTTGAATTTGTGATGTTTTGTACTGTTATGTGCAAGTATAATATTGTAACTTACTTTTTATTATCTATGTCTGGGTGTTTAGAACTTCTGTATGCAAAACATAATTGTGATTTTTCAAAATAATACAGACTGTGAGGTCTAGGCATAAATTCACAGAAATCACTATAACTAATGGATACATATTTTTGTAGTGATTTTATACTGGCAAATATTTTGTGAGATTTGGGTGAATGAAATTATGTATTACAGAGGTAGTTTATACAGATACATATACAGCACACACACACAACTGTTCTAACAAATCTTTAGACCATCAATGTCTACAGCAAAACTTCCAATAAATTATAAATCGGGGGTTTTCCAGATTCCTTATATGCTGCTGACAAGAAAATACATTTGCACAATCCTGAGATGGTTAGAGGTAACATATCCACTGTATCTCACTCTTTTATAAAGGTCGGACTACAGTTGCAACCAGCCACTATGAAATGAAAAGTGGTAAGAAGGTACCTAAAACTCTCTTATAGATATATCCTAAGTAGACTTGAGAAAAATCACAGACTGTTTTAAAAGCTTGTTGTGCTCAACAATAAAATCAAGCAAGTCAAACTAACTTTGTAAGTCAAATGGAATTATGTTGTGCTTCTGGGTATGCTCAAGGTAGCCGACAACTGCCAAACATCAAAACAGCAGATTCAAACATCTGAATTATTTACTGTGTTTTAGGGTTCATCTTTTCAACATTTTCTAGATTACCAAATGGAATTTACGTTTTGTGTCAACTCTTTAATCTCTAATAACATCAAAATAGCAGATCAACTACACTTGTCTAAAATAACTTTACCTTTTGTTGTTAAAATCATCTTAAGTTGTTGGATGAAGAGATGGCTTAGTGGGTTAGAGTACTTGTGTCTCTTGCAGAGCACCCAGGTTTGACTTATAGCACCCACTGGGAGGCTCACAACCATCCCTAATTCCAGTCCCAGTGGATATGATACTCTCTTCTGGCCTCTGCAGACACCAAGTAATAATGTGGTACATGTACACACAGCAGAGAAAACACACATAAAATAAAATGAATAAATACAATAAAATATTTTTTAATGTCATCTAAGTAGACTGTAAAGTTGGTTGCTCAGTCTGTCTTTTGTATTTTTAGGTTTCTCCAAATGATCTGTACCAAGAAAAACTGATGAACTCCACCTAAAGGGGAGAAAAAAAATCTGAGACATAAGCTCTATTCTATATCTAGAGAGAAAATATTATATAAGCAAATAAGCATCCATGTTTTGTCAAAGTGAGTCACAAAGTTCAGGATCACAGAGAAGTGGTTAATAGCTCCCTGCAAATGCACACGGAGCCAGAAGTGAAAGGACAACCACATCAAGAACTGAGTTGATTTTCTTTGTTAAAAAAAAAAAAGGAAATGTATTTATTGAGCACTTGCTATTAGTTAGATATACATATGTTTTTCTTTAGTTCACCACTAGATAAAATACCTTTTTGAAGATGAAAGGTCATTTTTTTTAGACCACAGAGTATATATTTCTGTCAATAATTTTGGATATACAGTTGTAGTTTTGTTCATTCACTTTTTTTTTTTTTTTTTTTTTTTTTTTTGCCTTTCAAGAATCAGGAGTCCAGAACTACAGGTCATTCCACATTAGGAACACTTAGGAATTTGGGAAGGCATCAGAAAAAGCACTCCATGGTAATAACACATGTATAAGTGTCTTTACTGCAATCTCTTTGATGGATTCCTTTCAGTTTCTTTCCCCCTACCTAGTGTAGTTAATAGGCCAAATTCATTAATGAACCAAAAAACAAGTATGGTTGTTAAATATACTGCCTAGCAAAAAAAAAAAAAAAAAATTAAAAATAACCACATTTATGCTAACAAGAGAAACGAAGAAGTGAAAGTTTTTAATACAAGTTTGTCATGAAACTCATCCATCCGTTTGAGAAGTAGGATTGTGGAAACGGCTAGCGTGAAGAACTGACAAAAAAAAAAAAAAAAAAAAATCCGCAGATCTTTAAAACTGTTGCATTTGTAGCCTGCCCATTGGAGAACAATAGAACTGTGAGGGAAAGTGTCTATCTAAAATATTTCAATCATTACAATTTATTTCTATTGCTACAAATTCTAAGTGAATTTAAGACGGTAACCAACTGTTGACTGTCAAAAGCCTCTCCTGGCCGCCAGGCTCTCTGATCCTAAGGACTGTAATCATAAATCCATGCCTAGTGTTAATCTCTTCAGGACAACAGACAGCAAAGCACCTGGGACAGGATCCCACTTTGCCAAATACTGTCTGTAACCTTCTTTAAAACTATGGTTTTCACACCAGTTTCCCTCTGTTGCCTATGCTAACAGCTATACTTCTGCAGGACTCGCTTAGTCCTAGCCGAGCCCAGGGCAGGGTCTGTGTGACGGGAGGGGATGGTGTCCGAGCCGCCCGCTGCGGCTGAGTGGCAGACGTCCTAAAACCTACGCCACGACCTGGGCGCTACCCTGGAGCCCCAGAGCCCAGCTCCCCACGATGCGCGCGCAGCCAAGGCCGCCGGCGTGCTACCCGGCAGGCTGTGCGCGGCCTCCACCTCCCACCACGTCCCGGCAGCCGCGAAGACGCTGCCACTCGGTTCCCAGCACGCTGGCGGCTCCCCGTGTCCTCTGTGCTCGCTCTAAAACAGAGGTCCTCTGCCGGAACCAGGACTTTTTCGCCCAGAGCCCTTCAGCCGCAGAAGAAGGCGAGAGCCGACACGCTACACCGCTCGAGGAGGCGTGGTGTGGGGACCGGAAGAAGCTTCTGTTGCCAAGGGAACGCGGAGCGCCTTGGCGTCCGCTCAGCCACTGATGCTCCGCGGCGGAAGCGGAGTTCCCCCAACTTATTGAAGAGGCTGTGCTTGGGACAAGGGATCCTTCCTACGAGGCCTAGAGAGGGAGGCTGAGGCTCCCGGGGAAGAGCCCACGGAAACGGGTATAAGAGTACGTCCATTCCTGTCCTTGTCAGCCCCTTGGGCTTCGGATTGGCCTCAAAGATCAGGTATCTCCACCCGCATCCCGCTTTTTGTCTCACTTCATCTCCATCTCTGTGTTATCTTTTACCTCTGTTGGGTATGATTTTACACGTCCTCAGTTTCACCCTTGTTAAGTGTACACTACCGTCCTGCTGTGGTTGTGGCGCCGTAGATCCGGTGCCAGGATCCACTGCTTCAAAAAGTTCCCGCTACCTGTTCGCAGCCACTTCATTCCGGCAGCCAGAGGACACCTTCTCCCTGTCTGATATACAACTGCTCTAAGCTGTTGCCCATATTTTGTTTGTTTGTTTGTTTGTTGTTTTGTTTTAATCCAGACTAGTTACTGTCTCTAATCCGTGAGAGATGGGAAGGGAGAATTGAGTGTACGTGATGAATACTTAGGAGTCTCGAAAGTGTAATGAACTGCTTTTGGCGAATGCATTTTGCTTGCTTGCTTGCCTGGTTGACTTAAACGCTGCCCAAGATGGGCCTTTTTATACGATGTATAAAAGGTTTATACAGTATAAAAGATTTATTCAGTTGAAAGTTCATCATCAACAGTTTTTAACTGCATAGGATTGCTTAATTGGGGTAGTAGAACAGTCTAGACTGCTAACATGTTTAAAGTTTACAAAAAGCACTTCTGTGGTTTTCTCTGTCTAATCTTGTCTCTCTCTGCAGCTTACCTCTAAGCTGTTACATGTGGATAACGTGATAATTCTTCAGTGCTTTCCTGGCAACCAGTAATCCTCTGGGAAGCTAATTCTCAGAAAGCAGCTAGGAAAATTTGGCTGATGTACATATAAAGGGAACGAAAGAGATGAGAAACTGAAATATCAGCCAGACTGGACAACCTTGAAACCTATTCATGAGCCACTGCCTTAGACGGTATAGGACAAAGAGACTTAACAATTAGGAGTCACGCAGGAGTAGTACACAGCCAGTATTCAAACCTACGTGTTCTTAGTTCAGATACAGGAGTTGTTTCATCTTAGCAAGTTTACTTAGTTATCAGTTCTGCCAGTGTTATACCATACATACAGTAAGTCCTTTTCAGCTAAAGGTGTGTTTTGTTCCTAATCTAGCCAGTATGCTGTTCTTTCTATCCATTAAAGGTAGTCTAGTCTCAACTCAATATCAGCTTTATACCTTTAAAAAAAGATGATAGTAAGTCTAGAGATTTTAGTTCTCTCTGTCTCGGTCTCTGTCTGTCTGTCTCACTGTCTCTCTGTGTGTATTTGTTCATGTAGTGAATTTTGCTAAATCAGAAGAATTGGAGTTACAGGTGCTTGACAGCTTCAGTTAGTGGGTGTTGGGAACCAAGCTGGTCCTCTGGAAAAGCATCAAGCTCTCTTAGTGGCTGTGCTATCTCCAGTATAATTTTATTATTTTCTTTCTCTTTTTTCAGTGCTTGAGATCATACTTAGGACCTTGCACACTGTAGGCAAGCACATTATCATTTTGCTACATAACCAGTCCCTAAGATCTTTAGAAAATTTAAATAGACATGAGTAGTGAAAGATAGTATAAAGCTAATTGTTTTCCCAGTTTCAACCGTATCATAACTTTTTCCTTTGCTATGGGGGTTAATTGCATAGAAATGTAATTGAAAATACAAAACCTTAAGAAATGCTTAAGAAAAATCCTTCTAATTGTTGACGTTAACTCAGATGATTGGGTAAGCTTTTGCTTGAGTGTCTATCTTAATCTAATTGTGTAATGTTTTAATTTGTGGGTTCATTACAATGAGGTTTTCTTGTTAAAAACTTTAAACCAGAATTTTGAAGAAATTCTGAACAATTGGACAAAAATGGCTGAGAATGCTTTGTGATAAGTGTTTTAACTATTTATTATTCAACTGCAAATCTTTAGTTCACTCTCAGTGCTGCAGATTGTTATTTCAATTTATTCTGATCTTCTCCCTTACTGATTAGGTAGTCTTCCTCAATCTCAGGGGGTGGGATGTTTCTTCTTAAAGAGCATTTTATGGACTTACCTCAGGTTAGTTTTACTTAGCCTTTGGAGAAGCCTTTGGTGCCCAAGATCTTGCTTTCTACAAACTTAAACAAAGTAAGGAAATAAAAGAAGAAAATAAAATCAGCAGAATATCTATCCCTCCAAAGCACAAAATTTTCAGGGCACAATTTCCCTTCAAAGCTGAAGAAACTATTAAATCTTTCATATTCTGAATAAGAGACATTAATGAAAGGAAACTTACTGTTTCGCATGACAAAATATAGGGGTATGTGAATTGAAAGATTATGTCATAAGCAGACCAATAGAAGAATAGATCAGGTTTCCCAGCTTATATAAAGTTGAAATAGTTTCCAAAACAAACAAACAAACAAAAAAAACCAAAACAAGGGTTCTCATGGACAAGTATTCACCTAAAATAGGACTTTTTCTTGGAGCTTTACAGCCTGTGTGAGCATGTTAAAGAGTGGTTTATAGTGTCTAAAATATCTCAAACTTAAGACACCTTGAGATTCTTTTAAAAGTAATTCTTAAGAATTCTTTTCCAGAGAATACAGCTTTGAATGTTGAGAACCCACCAATAGACCCAAACATGGATAAAAATTTAAAAGGGAGATTGAGAAATTAAGAGATAATAAGAAAAATGAAACTGGAAAAAGTTACTAGCTGTTTTATAAGACAGAAAAGTGGAGGAAGGAGGAAAGACGGACAGTCAGATATCTGAATCAGTTCTCACACCCAGATAAATTTCAGGCAGATTAGAATTTAAATTCTGAAAAGTAAACTGTCAATACAGGAAACAAAATATTAGTTAATATGTTTAAAATACTGAAGAAAAGGAAATATTTCTAGACCTAAAATTGAAGAAAACTATCAATATCTTCAGATAAAAGTTCTGTACTACAAAACAATAATAATGAAGTCAATTTTTAATTGACTAAAATGGTTTTCAGTTCATATATATGGAAAGGGTTCCTACATACATTAAACAAAGGAGTAACTACCAGAATATGGCAGAATATAAAAGAAAGCATATAAAAGAAATACTATTAAAAAGCAAGCTCTGCAATAATATTCAGTTTTACTAGTGATGGAATAAGTGCAAATTTAAACACTGCTGTGATAGGACTTTTCACTTTCCAAGTGAGAAAAAAAATGGAAAAGCTGACGACTCTTTAAAATTTTATACTCTAAAATATTTCAGTAAGAAATCATGGGTATTTGAAAAAAATAATAAAAAGCCACAAAGAGCCTTGAAAAATGAATACCTGATGGTAGAACTTTTTAACAATGTTTTGTAGTACTTGCCCAGAAAAAGACGTCATATCTTTGAAAATATATTAAAGATTATATGGAAAATGAAAAAAATATATAAGCATTATGTTAACATGCTTAGCATAGTATAGGACTTACTAGCAAATTCAAACTAAAATGATAAATATGAAATGTTTCATATCACAAGATAAATTTAAAATAGATTCATCAAATGCCAGCTCTTAATCTGGGATTCAAAGAAATGTTCTGAAATGGGCTTTGAATCTCTGATATGAAAAGGTTTTGAACTAGCTCAAAGGAAAGGAAAGTACCTAAGGTTAAACCCATCTTTAGGATAAGAAAGAGAGCTTTCTTGTAGGACTCTCTCAGGAAGGATATACTACTCCTTGTAGGCATATCATTGAAATTCGATTTTGTACATTATACTGATAGAGGTCTCCCAAAGGCACTAAGCAAAATGTCAACTGTACAGCCACTTTTCTTATGCATTTGACTTAGAAACTTCCTATTGATAACCTTACCCCAATATCCCTTGCTTGGGATAGTATAGAATAAAACATATAAAAGGAATTATAACAGGTTTATATGACCTTAAATGAACCTGAGAATTAATGAAGTGAATTAATGTTTCAAGAACTTTGGAAATTCGTTTTCAGAAAATAAAGGGAAATATTTAGTAGAGAGGTATATCCTGACAGTGCCAGTAGTACTGGGTGGTTGGTAAAAAGAGTATTTTTTCTATCATAAAGTAATATTTAGGATTTGATGAAACTAAAGAAAAGCCCCTTAAAAAGCTTTATTTGGAGATGTGAAGTGTGTAGTTTGGATTTTTCAATATAATATTAATATTAATTTAGTCTTTAAGAATTTCATACTTGTTTATAGTGCATTTTGATCATATCCACCCCCTATTCCCCAACACCAATTTTTCCTGGAGCCCCCCTCTTATGACCCCTCCCACCTTCATGAATTCTTCTTTCTTTTAAAATAACCCAATGAGTCCAGTTCTTACTACCCTTATGCTCATGGGTGTAGAGCCATCCACATGGGTAACCAGCCAAAGACCACATCCCTGGGAAATTGACTTTCCTAGCAGCCAACAGCTTCTCAGACAGAGGAGTGGCCTCATGAGCCCTTCCCTAATCCATGCTGGAATGTTGGCTGGTTTGTGCAGTTTTTGTGTAGGCAACCAAGGCTGTCAAGAGTTCATGAGTACACTGGCCCTGTCACGTCCAGAAGTTCTGCTTGGCAGCACGCCTGCTCCCGACCTTGATTTTACAGTCTTTCTGCCTCCTTTTCCAGAATGTTTCCTAAGCCTTGGGAAGAGGGTTGTGATATAGATAGGTGTTCCATTTAGAATTGCGCCCTTTGCAGCTAACTTATTCTCGGTACTTGTATTTGTTGGGAATCTTTATATCAACAGCTATCCACTGGAAAAAGAAGCTTCTCTGATGAAGGTTGAGAACTGCATTAAACCAAAGTGTAGAGAGCAGTTTATTACTGTGTCCATGTAGTATGGTGATAACAGTAGTTTCTTCCCTATGACTTCCCTGTTCGTGGGTTCTTGGTCAGGTTTGCTGTACCACGCATAAGTTTCTGCCTGAAAAGTAGACTTTAAATCCTACCACAAAGCAGCTGGTTATCCCCATAACCTTCATGTCATTCTTGCATCCATGGGCATAGCCTGTCAGCTAGGTCATTATGGTAGCTCTCAGGGTGAGGTAGACTTGTAATGACTTTTGGCTCCTAGTGTCTGCATACAACTTTCCTGTACTAGGAAGGCTAGATACCAGGGAAGACGCTTCTGGGTTAGTACCAGCTGGATTACCCCATAGTGTGTGACCAAAGAGTATGATGTCTTCAGCGCTAGTGTCTTAACTTTAAGTTCCCATAGCCTACTAAGAGGAATGGCAATAGCTTGTATATTGTTTGGGGTGGTCTCTTGGACTGTCCCCTCCTCAGCCAACAACTGGAGGGGAGGTATCCTACGGCTAACACTAATAATAACCCCCACCCAAAGTCCTCTGTCTTAAGAGCTTAGTCTCCAATAATGAGGACTCTGTCCTGGACTGTAGCTTCTAAAATTGTGACCTGCTTTATCTTAGCATTTGTTACTGGAAGAGAAAGCTGATTAAGACAGATTTTCCCCTTAAACACTTAAGGGACAAATTAACAAATATATATGTGTGTTTGTGTGTATATGTGGGTGAGTGTGTGTCTGCACGCACATGTGTATGTTTGTGTATTTATAACAAATATTTATATATGCATGCCTTTGTGTACATGTTTGTGCATGTGCACGCATACATATGTGTTTAAAGTTTGCATTTTTTTTCTATAATGGCATCATAATTAAAGCTCTTTTACATACTGGTGGGATATTGTAGATTTGCTAATTCAGAAAACATTGACCTTAGTAAGATTGACTAAAATTATGGAGCGTATCCATTATTTTCAAAGAATTAGTGGTGAATTAAGAGAGATATAAGAAATGGGTGAAATCAGGATATTGTGTGTGAATAGAAAACCCAACCAAACTGGAAACAACTTTGCAGAAAACAAAAACAGTAAGGTTTTTATAATTACATATTATTTCAAAATAAAAACATGGCCTTGTGTCATATATATATATATATATGGTGATTAAAATGATATATCTAAATCTTGGGTTTTTTCTTTGTTTTTGTTTTTGTTTTGTCTTCTGCTTTTGAGTGTTAGCATCAGACTGTAGCTGAGTCTCCTTGCCTACAGTGTTCCATATTTATAAATAAATGTTATAAATATTCATAAATAACTTTGAAAGCTACAATTGGCAAACTCCACATGAAGCTAACAAGAGTTACTTCTTGAATATTATAAATTTGGTTGTTTCAGGAATATTATTTCTGTTGCCAAGGTTTATATGCTGCCAGCCTGTATGTCAGTTAAGGCTCCTTTCTGATAATCGGCTTACACTGTTTACTAAAGTAAAGCCACACGGAGCGGTTTTTGTGTGCTGCCATTATCTTTACATTTTTCATGTGCATACCAATATATTCCATATGTAAGATACCTTTGAAATAATTATTTCTCTTTCCTTACAGTTGCTTTGTAAATATTTAAGTCACATTATGGGATTGCTGGACAGACTTTCAGGTTTACTTGGCCTGAGGAAGAAGGAGGTTCATGTTTTGTGCCTCGGGCTAGATAATAGTGGGAAAACAACCATCATTAACAAACTGAAACCTTCAAATGTAAGTATTTCTGTAATTCTTGACATTTTCTAATACTAGGGAAAGTTCTATGCAACATTCCTTTGAAGTTATTACTTCTGTGTTCATATGAAGTCCTGTTGCTCTGACTGTTGGTAAAGGGATATCAATGAACTGTTGCTTGTTGCATGTGCAGCCTGTTTATTCAGTGTGCAGGTAAATCTTGATCATTAAGCTGGAATAGCCTCTCTTGCTTCCTTTATATGCCCCTAAAGAGCTTCAAGAATTGGCTAAGTTTACTTATGGTTGCACGGACTTTGTTTAAATTTGTTTAAATTTCTTCTTCATTGGAAGAACAAAACAAAAGGAAAGATATATAAGTGTTCTAAGTTCTATGGATAATTAGACAGTGGTGTGCATATTAATGATAGATGGCAATTTTGAACAACATATATATATATATATATATATATTTACTGAATATAAAGAAGTCTAGCACATGCAGTGTATATAGGATTTGTTACATATAATTCCTAATATGATTTCTTGAACCTTAAGCAGTAAGCAACTGTCCTGGCTCAGAAAATTGACCTGAAGATCCGGAGTGCAATTTGCTTAGCTCCCACACTCCTACCTTTTTAAACTATACTAATAGCGAGGAGGTGTTACTTGAATTGGAAGGCTTAGAGGCTCCGTACTTTTGTTACTCAGGTGTAGCTTTTACATTTTCTTTCTTCTTATTTTGAACTGAACATCACTTGTGAGCTTTCATCTACAGTTTGGGCACTGTTTTTAGTTAATAAAGTATTAGTCATAGGGTCAGTGTTCTCTTAGGAAAAGATTATAAGACTGTTCCATGTCTTATTTTGTAGGAAAGTTGTCTCTTGTCTGTGTTGACAAAATTGATTTGGGGATAAACAGATTTTAGACTCAAACTTATTTTTAAGATAAATTATTCTAATGCTGTATTTGAAATGAATATCCTCAGTTGTGAGGGTATTTTTCACCCAATCACTCTTTGTAAGAAATAATGTAGTTTTGGCTCATGCATGCTGGTATATGCCTTTAATCCTAGCACTCCGGAGTCAGGCAAATCAATCTCTCTGAGTTTGAGGCCAGTCTGGTCTACATAGGGTGTTCCAGGTCAGGTAAGACGGCATGGTGAGACCCTTACTTGGGTCGGGGTAAGGGAAAGAAGCATGAACTTGAAAAACTCCAAAGTAATCTATGCAATTCATTTGATCCCTTGCATATTAAATTTCTCCTCACTCCTCCTTGACTTGTCAGGCATTGAATAACAAATACCTAGAATAAGGATTGGCACTTAAATATATTTTGGATAATAGAGGAATAGATAGGTGCCTGATACCATCATCTTCATCATCATTGTCATCATCGTCATCATCATCATCTTTGACCAGGGGATTCTGTTGCCTACATGGTGGATATAATTTTTAGCAAACTTGATGAAACTAAAACTTCTCTTAGAAATTCTGTTCTGGTCCTGTTGATAATTGTCTAATCATTGCTGGACTTAGATGGTACAGTCTACACTCTTTCCTTTCTTATTGCCATTCAGTGCAGTCCTGGATGTATTTGTTCCTGGATAAAACAGAGGGAAATTAATAATAGACATGACTCCTTGTTTGGGAGATGGGAATAAGAGTGTGCCCGCTGTGTGTGTAGCAGAAAGACAGAAGGTTGATTTCAGGTTTCTGCTCAGTTTCTTTCCATTCTACATTTTCAGATATGCATGATCCCTTCCTGGATCTGAAGCTCACAGATTTTGCTAGGATAGCTGGCCCATGAGCTCTGGGACATCCACTGTACCTATCTCCTGAGTGTGTGCTGTGCCTAGCCTGTACTCTGAATCACGTTCCATATGAAAATGAGTTCCATATGAATCTGTGCTATTCTGGTCAACTTTTAGAGCTTCTTTTGTTGATTATTTCCATTAGAACTTTAGAGAAGAAAAGTTTGGGGTTTTATCCGTTTAAGCTAAATTTTAAAAGGGAGTTTGTGGATAACCTAGGTAACTATGTAGAATCAACTTAGGTGTTCTAATTATAAGTCAGTGAAGAGACTGTTGTTATTTGGTGTATATTTGCTGTGGTATTTTTAAACTTTTTAACCTTTATTATATGCTGCAAAAGAATTAAATGAAAATGGTAGGATTGTGGGAAAAACAAAAAATTAATTACTGTATTCCAAAGCTTGTTCAAGGAGCCTCAGAGTAATGAGGCAAGATCTTAAGTGCCCCAAAATAATTTATTTTTCCAGCAAGCAAGGAGGACACTTTGGGGAAAATGTTAATGCAGCCCAAAGACTGGATAGAAGGAAAAGCTGAGTAAACAGACTTGGGAGAGGGAAGCAAGAGCTGCTCTGGGAAAGGCCTGGTCGGAACACATCACTGTTACGGTTCCTATGCGCCAGTTCACTTTCAGCCTCTCTTCCATCCAAATTTAAATTTTACAAAAGAAAAGCACCCAAGTGAACATGGTAATGCAAGGCAAAATTTTCCCATCTTTTATTCTTACTTTCACATGAAAGTAACAAGTTTTTTTTTTTTAATTTAGTTATTCTTAAGGCAATATGGGAAAACATAGGAATAAGACTAGCCAAAATGAGAGTATAATTATAATAGCACACATTTGTGGAATGTTTATAGACAACATGGTAAGTATTTTGTACCTATTAGCTCATTTAATTCTCATAATAAATTTATGAGCACGATAATATAGTTGACATTTAAGCAAACCTTGGCTTAACCAACTTGTGCCAGGTGGCATAGCTAATTAGAGTAATTAGGAGGCTATTGTAATTCAAAGCAACAAATGGAAAGGTCAGGTTTTTTTGTTTTTCTTTTGTATTATTGTCATTTATTACAATTTATTCAATTTTTATCCTGGCTGTGGCCCCCTCCCTCACCTCCTCTAATCCTACCCTCCCTCCCTCTTCTCCCCCTGTGCCCCTCGCCTAATCCACAAAGGTCTGTTTTAAGGTGGTGTCACAGAGCCAGTATGTCCTAGGGAATGAATGGTTTTGTCCATGGCAAGTAACAACAGGAGGAGTCAAGAGTAACTTGTAAGCATCTGGGTTACAAGGTGGACATAGTTTTGCTTAAATGAGTTCATTTGTCAGTACATTTCAAATGACATTTTCAAATGTCTATGAAATCTGTTAAAGTGTGTCCTGCTGTTCTCTTGGCCTTTTCGATTTTCCTGTAGAACTCCCTACCAGAGCCATCAGAGTCTTTCTTCAACATTGTATCACTCCTTTACTTAGCAATGACTTTTAAACACATATGCCTTTTATTTTTCCTGAGTGGCAAGTTCCTTCTTGCCCTAGGATTGTTTCTCTGACTAACTCCCTTCCTACCATTCACTCATGTGTCAGATGTCACTCCTGAGCGCCCTTCATCTATGTTGTCATATGTTGATTGTTGTTTACGTTATGTGATGACCTCCTTGAGAGCAGAGACCAGGTGGATGTGAAGACAGTCCCAAGTGTACATAAATTCAGTATGTATGTGTTGAGTGATTATAAAGCTCACCACAGGAACTCAAAGTGACTTTTAAACTACTTATGAAAGCTTGCTTACCTTTTTTAATAAAACAAAATGTGAATTTAAACATATGGGTTATACCAATTCATAGTTGGCAATTAAACCTTATATATTTGTAAATGATTTTATACACAGTGACCCTATTACTAAAATTATAGTATTTAATCATGTTATCTCCTTGATAGCATATTTTAGAAATGGAGAAATCTGGAGACTTGAGGAAACATCCATCTTTGTAATTACAAATGTCTAAATTTTTATGTTTTCTCTTACAGGCTCAGTCTCAAGATATAGTTCCGACCATAGGATTCAGCATAGAGAAATTCAAATCATCCAGGTAACCTACCTTTCCTCTGTGACTACAAAGCTGTGTTTCCAGACTTACCTGGAAATCACTAGTCATTTCAAATCTCCATGCCTTCTGGGCTTTTTGTACTATATCCTTAGCTTATTCTCATCACTTAAAGTTTAGGCCAACTCTTGAAACCTCATTAGCAAAGGAAACATTCTTATGTTATTCATTGAAAAATCATATGTAGATTAATAAATTTATTTTTAACTTTTTCTTGAATATTAACCATAGTTATTATCCTGTAGGCATGATGATTTATCTGATAGAAAACAAATTAAAATATTAAAAAGTTAACTGTTCAACTTAGTTGCTTAAAATATAAGTAATGTTTTGCTTTTGTTTATAGTTTGTCTTTTACAGTGTTTGACATGTCAGGTCAAGGAAGGTACAGGAATCTCTGGGAACACTATTATAAGTAAGTATTTTTGCAAAACTTGCTTAACCACATGGATAATCTTAATGACAGTAATGATTAGAAATCCAAGTGATTATATGTTTTTTGCTATAATAATGTAACTTCATATATTCATGACACTGCCCTTGTTCTCTTCTGTTTTTGATGTCAGTTTTCATCTATGGTTGTTATAGCTACACGTTAAGAACTAGCCATCAAGTTAGGGATAGTGGTACATACCTATAATCCTAGTACTTGTAATGCTAAAAAATAAAGATCAAAAAAATTTAAGGCCAGCCTGAGCTATATAATCATTTTTAAGCGAGGCTGGATTACATAGTGGAACCATATCTCAGAAAGAGAAGAGAGAGAGAGAGAAGAAAGGCCTGTAAAAGTCACCTTAACTGATGTTTTGTTGTTTTACCAGTCTCTCTGTCTCCAGTGTTTGCACAGTATGTTATATGCAGACACCTGTGTAATGAGGTACCACAGCTGCCCTTAGTGAAGAACTTATTCTTTATTCAAATTATTTCTTCAAGGAAATCGTAGATCATAGAGCAGAACTATTACTGACCATGTTTAGTTAAAATAACAAGATTGTTTAAAGCAATTACTTGTGTTACAAGTATTTCCAAACAAGATTTTTTTGAGTATATGGACATAATTTTCAGTAAGAACTTCAGATGTAACAGATGTCAAATTATTAGGATCCAAGTAAGATTGCATGTGGTATTAAAATTTTATTATTCTGTCTCCTTATACTACACAGAGATGGACAAGCCATTATTTTTGTCATTGACAGTAGTGATAAATTAAGAATGGTTGTGGCCAAAGAAGAACTTGATACCCTTCTAAATCACCCAGGTATCTGTGTAACTTCTGTCTGTGATAGCTGTGCTTTGGGTTCCATCTATATGGTTAGTTTGTTCTTTCATCTAAGAAAAAAATGTTTATGAGATAAAATTCTTTTTTATTTACACTTGTAAATTTTAAGCTTATTGGTCATGCAAAATTTAATAACAGCTTTGTCTAATTTTTTAATTTCCAAGTTTTCTCAGTGTTGTTTGTTTGTTTGTTGTCTACTGGCATTTATTTCCTTAAACGCTTTTCAGACAGAGAAGATGAGGGAGGAGGTGGCATTCTGTACACTGGGACATCATTCACAATAAGGCTTTGGTTGCCTTATTCTCACAGCACATGGTAGCCAAGGAGCAGCGACAGACGAGCTTTTGCTTGTTTGGCCTTCCATGTTTACAGAAAGGAGGAAACTCAAGTAGGGGGAAGAGGAACTAGATTGTGGCGTTATTATTTATTACTGAATCATGTATTTTAAGTGTATGTGTGTGTGCCTGAGTGTATTTATGTGTACCACAGATGTGCAGAGCCAACAGAGGTCAAAGAGTACATCCTGTCTCCTGGAATTAGAGATACAGGCAGTTAGGAATCCCTGGTCAGTTTTTTTTTCTGAGTGTTTTTTTAAATTTAATTTTATTTATATATTTATTTATTACAATTAATTTACTTTATATCACCGCTGCAGCCCCCTCCCTCATCTCCTCCCAGTCCCATTCACCCTCCTTCTTCTCCCACTATGTCCTTTCCCTAGTCCACGGATAGGGGAGGTTCTCCTTCCCTCCTATCTGATCCTATCTTGTCAGGTCTCATCAAGGTTGGCTGCATCATCTTCCTCTGTGGCCTGACAAGGCTGCACCACCCAGGGGTTGGTGATCAATGAGCCAGCCACAGAGTTCATGTCAGAGACAGCCCCTGTACTCCTTACTAGGGAACTCACTTGGATACTGAGCAGCAATGGGCTTCCTCTGAGCAGGGGTAGTCATTTATTTTAAGTATGGCTTAGGTCACAAGGGTAAGATAGGGAATGAAGTAAAACGGTAAATATGTGCAGTAATGAACTTGGCAAGTTGGTTTTTATAGAGAATGGATATAATAACTATGGCTGGAAATACATGGTGTTTTTATAAGATGTGAAGATGCTGCTGTGCATTGCTTTTCCTGTGGAGGGCAGCTGGACAGGACTCGACAGGTAGCAAGGAGATTCTGTGACCACCTACCAGTTATGGTTTCTAACTTCTAAGCTCATTAAAACATTGGGACTTGGCTTCACTCATTACATAAGGGCACTTGCTGCCAAACTTGGCATCTGTCTAAAGTTTGAATCCCAGACACACATGGTGGAGAGGGAGAGAGTGGACTTCTTCCCATGACTTGTCCTGTGACCTCCACATTCACACATGGCACACCTACATGCATGTACATAGACACATAGACACATATGCACACGGGGACACACATGCATGTACATGCATGCACACACAGTAAATACATAAATGTTTTTTAAAAAAACCTCTCAAAACCTTTAAGCATGTTTCCAAAATTGTAGTGGGGAAAATACCTTGTTATAAATAATACCTCACTTGTTTATAGTGCTGTCTGTGACTTCAAATTAAAGCAGAACGCACTTCTTTTTCTCCCTGCTTAGGGCTGACACTGAAAGCAAGAGAAATCCTTGCCTTTTTACATAAATACTTCTCTGTGACTGCTAAATTCCCATCTCTGACCTTACTCTTTGGTTTAAAGCTTCTAGCCAGAGGGCACATGGTCTGTCTTATCAAATAGTTTTAGGTTTTTTTCTGTTTAGATCACTGGTTCTGAACCTTTCTAAAGCTGCAGCCCTTTAATACAGTTCCTCATGTTGTGGTGACCCAAACTATAAAATTATTTTGTTGCTGCTTCATAACTAATTTTGCTACTGTTATGAATTTTAGTGTAAATATTTGATGTGCAGAATATCTGATATGCTGACCCACAGGTTGAGAACCACAGGCTTAGATGACTGTTTAACTGTGTATCTTTAAGTGTTTATGTATGTGTATGTCAATTTTAGGGGGCTAGGGCAAAGTGATCCAGAACACAGGGGTGTTATGATGGTGTTCTTTTCTTTTTCAGATATTAAGCACCGCCGAATTCCAATCTTGTTCTTTGCAAACAAAATGGATCTTAGAGACGCAGTGACTTCTGTGAAGGTGTCTCAGTTGCTGTGTTTAGAGAACATCAAAGATAAGCCATGGCATATTTGGTAAAAAAAAAAAAAAAATGTATTTCTTATTTTGTCTTTCTGAAAAATCTGTGAGAGGTAGATGTAGTGTTTTTTGTTTTGTTTTTGATATTTTATAAACAGCCAAACATGGTAGAATGTAAATTAAGTATTTGTTTCACAGAATTGCAAGTACTCATGAAAATACTGCTTTTAACTTTTCAAATACTTTGGTGCTTGAAAAAGTATATATATGTATATGTCCTCTTATAGTGAAAACCATAAATAAAATAGCCACTTACTCTTCTGTTTTCAACGACAGTGACTTGCTTTTCCATCAGCCAAGCCACTGAATCATTCACTAAATTAATTTTCCTGGGTTGCTAGTGTACTTCACCATTACCATGTGGCATTTTGCTTTTTATTTTTTGATGGTTTGTCTTCCTAACACTTATGGTTAGCTTTCTGGGAGTTAGGATTTTGCCAAGTTTTGGTTGCTGCCTTATTTTTCCCCCATATTTGTGATTGCTACATATTATATATACTGTATTTGTTCAAATGAAGGAGTAGAGATAATGGTTTGATATGGACATACTAGTAAACAGTGTCTGGAGTTGCTTTGCATTATTTGTTTAGGGAACAGTTTCCTAATTAACTCCTATGTACTGCCTTACTGAGATCCTCTTTGGCTACCTACCCACTACCCTTCCATGCCCTAAAATGTCTTCTATAGCATTTCCTATGTTTTCTAAGAGTTACAATAATAACTAAGAGGGAGTTAGACACAAAGCAGAGAAGTCTACTGGCTCTAGAAGTGACATAGCATATAAATCAACAAAGTGGAGCCTAGGAGCCTCAGCATGGAGCGGGGGATGGGAACACAGTTCTTCTGCTAGCTGAGGAGCTGTTGGCATTTGGATAGTTTCTGGGAAAGGAAGAGACAGTTTTCTTTGAGGGTAACCTGATAGGCCAACCACATACTAGGACAGGCCCCACACCCAAAAATATTTGGGGGTAACACAAACTGGAATCTCTGGGTTTTAAAAGAGAGGGAGACCATGAAGTTTGATGGGTAGGAAGGTGTGAATGAATATGATCAAAATACATTGTATAAAATTGAAAAGATTTAGTAAAAATACCTTTAAAAAGAAAAGATCTGGGAGAGCTAGCCTTGGTGCTGAACAGAGTAGCATGTAAGGAAACCTGGGATTCCGTGAGTTCCAGATGTCCCTTTGCCCACGAAGGAAAGAGTGAAGCCTTCCCTACTTTTGAACAGTAGGGGGAAGGATAGTGCTACTCTATATTGAATCTGAGGTCCAGTGGTATTTGATAATTATAGAAGAATGTGATTTTAGGCAAAGAAAAAGTCTGCGATACAACCTTTGCTATCACAAATCATTGGACTCCAAAATGTTCTCGCAATGTAATATATGTTAAAAAAAAATATTAACTTTTGTATTTTGCTGAATATTTTAATGCTTTGATGGAAAGCAGAATATTCAAACATGTAACAGTTGTATTTAAACAGATTTATTCAATTATGACATCTCAAAATTTTTTTGTGTGTGAAAGGTGAAATCGTGACAATGTAATGATGTTCTATTCCCAGGTTCTATGTTTTCCATATGACATAGAAAATGCCTACCTATAACTTTACTTCTCCTTAATTCAAACTGGACATCGTCTTGTAAAATTCAAATTAGCATTTTATGTATAAGACTTGTTCTGAATTTTCTGATTTTTTTAAAGTCTGTACAAAATTAAAAATATGTTTATCCTTCTCTCCAGCTTTAGATGTTTGGGCGGTAGTCCTTAAATACAAGTATATTGGTATAGTCTGGGAAATTAAAGAAGAATTCAGAGTTTTTATTCTTGACCATTGTTAGTAAAATAGAGCCTGGGGCCTCATTGTGTTGGCATATTTTTTTCTTTTCTTTTTTTTTTTTTTCTGTTTTGTTTTTCAAGACAGGGCTTCTCTGTGTAGCCTTGACTCTCCTGTAACTCACTGTGTCGATCAGGCTGGTCTTGAACTACAAAGATCCACCTGCCTCTGCTTCCCAAGTGCTGGGATTAAAGGCATGTGCCACCACTATCCAGCATGTTGGCATACTTTTGACTTAGTTCTTTGGGGTTTATTTGGTTGTGTGTATTGTAGAATAAACACACAATAAGGAAATAATTATATAAAACATCAGATGACTGGATGAAGAAATGTTGTTAGGGTAAGAGAAAGCATGAGGACGTATTGTCTTTGTGGCCTGATTTCAGTCTGGGAGCATTTCATGTAAAGGCCTGGTTAGAGAAATAGCTACCCAGTCAGAGGGCTGGAAGAAAATGGCTCTTCCTGGCTGAGAGTGTGCCTGTTCTGTTCCCGGAACAGCAAATAGCCTGGCTAAAACAAAGGAGTCAAGGGGGAAATTGGAAGATGTGGCCACCGACAAGTTACTCTGGGCCAGAAAACCCAAAGCACTGGGGCACCTGGCGGAGAGCTTGATGTTGCTCCAGTCTGAGTTTCACAGTACACAGGGAACTTGTTCAGAGAAATAGCAGGGTTTGAATCACCTCCACCAGCTGAAAAGGAACTCTGTCCTCTATTACTTGTCTAGAACTATGTGTGCCAAAATCAGTACCTTGGGTTTTTCTGACCTAAGTATTTCTATTACTGATGTCTTGCTATTATATGTAATCAAAAGTGTGCTTTGAATACTTGTTTACTTACGCTTCTGTCTTCCTGCTTGAAAATAATTCTTCACTAACCTGTAATCTCAATTTAACAAGTAATTCCTTGGCAGTAATTTTCTTTAACTAGAACCAGTTTAAATCTTTAGGTTCTTTACTATGCTTTAGGTAATACTTCCTCACTAAGTAAATGCTATAAAATAATCTAATTATTCAGAAATTTTAATTTTATATTAATATGATCATGAATTTTTAAATAAGTAACATAATATAGGTCTGGATCTTTCAAGAGGAATATTTGAACTTTTAATATTTTAGTTTTGTATACCATACTCATAATTGTAGATGAAATATCATATCAGAGGTTTAAGTTTAAGGATGGAAGAAAATGGATGCAGTTTGCTTTTACATGTGTGCTTCAAATATGTAATTCTTACAATAACCATGTCAGATTAGCAGTAATATTCCCTCAGTTGCAAATGCCAAAGATTCCCACAGTAATAAATATAAAAGTACAGTAGCAATTGATGGGAGTTTTGTTTTCTTCTAATAGCTTATGGAAGTTTATGAGTTAGGCACGCTTGCTCACAACTAATTCCTGTATTTGCGGGGTGGAGCCTGTTCAGTCAGTGCATAGCAAGTTTTAGGCAACAACAGCAACAAAACCCACATTATAATTATGGGTTTTTACTGTATAGACAATAAGTTATATTTCAAAGTCAGTTGATTCTGTCACTATATTGTGACCTAAGTTAAATATTTTAATAAGTAAATGCAGTTGGAGTATGGCACAGAGTGAGGTAGGATAATGAAATCTAGAAAACTTTTCTGCAGTAGCAAAGTAGCCAGATGTTTATGTGTTCTTAACATCACTAAAGAGTCTCAAAATCAGTCTCGGTGTCTTTTTCTCTAGTCCTCAGACTTTAATTTTTCTATTTGTATTCTATTTCAGTGCTTAACCAGTTTTGCAGAGATGTGTGTTATTAGCGTATATTTCTTTGCAATGTGGCAAAAATGTTGTTTACTTCTAGAGTTATATGATACCATAAATGGATTTTTGTTGTGTATTTTATTTCAGTGCTAGTGATGCCATCAAAGGAGAAGGGTTGCAAGAAGGTGTAGACTGGCTTCAAGGTATGTCACAAAATACTGCACATCTGTAGCCTGCTTCTTTTTCATTTATTCATTTCATTTGTATATTTTAATTTGGTTACATCAATGCCCCCTTCTTGTTTTTATTTCTGCTGTCAGAAAAAACAGTACAGTAAGTATCTGATGCCTTGCTACATTTATTTTATTATGTTTTTCTAGCAGATTTACTTTAAGTGTTTCAGTGTTTACATTCAATAATTATAGCCAATCTAGAAAATTATTTTAACTTATAGAACCAGATTTTCAATAAATCTAGCAGATAAAAAACATATTTGAAGTTTAGGACAAACATTAGGCCTTACTGTTAATAACTAGGACCAAATTACAACTATTTTTTATGAATTATGGTATATAACACCTCATATATAACATATATAACATGTAAAAGTTTTAACACTTACACTTAGTATTATAAATACTATTATTCTGTTACTATCTTGTTTATTTTCAGTTCAGTTTTTTCATTAAAATAGGTATAACAGATTACTACAGCACTACGATATTAGAGAATAAATTAAGATAAATGTTCTGTTCCCTAGGATTGTATTGTTTACTGTGTGTAAGAACAGCTTGTGGCATGCACAGCGATAGATAAGTGTGTGTTCTGTGTGTGTGTTCTGTATGTCCATTCTGTAGAGTATGGCTAAGTCATAAGTGTTCGATTTAAGCAGAATAACTGATTATTCTTACTGAGACTCCTTCTACTCTGAATAAGAGTAAAAATGATACAAATTCTAATCACAATTTTTATTTATAGCTATTATTTCCTTATGCACTAGCCTTTTAATATTAGATATGTGTAGAATAGTATTTTCAGTTTTCTTCTATGTTTTGGAAACCACGGCAGAATTATAGCCTGTTGTGTTGGATGGAAAAGTAATCTGCATACAAATGCTAGTTTGCTAGCACAGTTCAGAAAGATGTAAAATCTGGTCTTCTAGTGAATTCCACAGACTTTCATTTTCATTTCTTTTTATTTGTTTCCTTGTTTTTTCAAGACAAAGTTTGTCTGTGTAGCCCCAGCTGTCCTGAAACTTACTCTGTATACCAGGCTAGCCTCAAACTCAGAGATCTATTTTCCTCTACCTCTAAGTGATAGGATTAAAAGTGTGTGCCACCACTGACTGGTACAGACTTTCTTTTCTAGCTTGTATTTATTCAGTCAAAATATTTACTATTAAATTGCAAGGAACGTTGTTGTCATATGTTATAAGTAAATAAAACAAGCATCTCTAATAGTTATAAAAATTAGAAAAGGCATTTTTTTCTTTGAACCCACCAACTTCAATTTTCAAATTGTTTTAAGAAGTATTCAGGGTTATGGGATGAAATTCCAGAAAGAAAACAACAACAACAAAAAACTGGTAGGTTACAGGATAAATCTGTAGAGAAGCATATTCCATCCCTGATTTCTTCCTTCATGACTGTGGGCGATTATTCTCAATGAAGGTGCAGCATGGAATAGAAGCCCTGCTAACACTCTGTGTGCACTAATTTCAAGCACAGTACTGAAAAGAGGATGCTGTGGCATCCAAGTTTTGGGTTCCATTTCTCCTTCCCCAACTTATTTGTAGTTTCATTTTTGTCTTTAGCAATAGCCACTAGGTGGCAGTAATGATCCAATATTACAGTACCAATTTTCACCTCTTGGCCCCAGTTGTGTTCTTTCTTTTTCTATCTTACCTCCCCAGTCTTTGTGAGAACAGCATGTTGTTGGAAGTGCTTTTCTGTCCTTTCATTGCATCAGTCTCTGCAAGGTAAGTAGTAGCATCCCAGTTTGCTCTCTGCAACAGGAATAGTTGCAGAAAGAGTTGAGCCATTGAGGCAGCATATTTGCCTTTAAGTTCTCTTTCTACTAGAAAACATCTTTTCTTACCTTTTGAGGTAATTTTCACATCTGTGATATGAAAAACTTAAATTTCATAAAATACTGTGCATATGTGTTAAAGTACCATGTATAGAAAGCCTTCAGTGCCTGTCAGATTTACTCTCTTACCTAGTCACACTATTTAAAAGAGGCAGAAGCTGCAGAGCTTTAAAAAAATTAAAGATTATGTCAGTTTGTTTACGACTAGATGATCATTCATTGTATTTGCTATAGGATAGCAAACAGTATAGATTATATTGTTTCGGTCATCTACTTGACTATGAAAAGCAGTAAACACCTATCCTTTAAAACAAGTAATAGTAAATAAAAGAGGCTATCTTGCTTCTAATGCCACTCCTTAGCTAAAGACCCATAGGAAAAGAAAAATACCTTTGAGCTATATTCATCTCACTTTCAGAATCCTGGCGTCTCCTAGCATGTTAAACAAGGTTCACTTTGTACCAAGTTAATATTATTTCTTTAAGTTTAGTATTGGACTTTTCATGAACTATTAATGTTACATATGATTATATTCTCTTTTGAAAGATTTGGTAATTTTGTATGTTTGAGTATCAGTATGAATTTCTAGTTCTGAAACTTCCAAGTGAGTTGTTTTTTGTTTTTTGTTTTTTTGAGGAGGGGTAGGTTTTTTTGTTATTGTTGTTTTTTTTTTGTTGTTGTTCGTTTGTTTGTTTTCTGAGGCAGGGTATCACTATTTATGTAGCACTGGATAACCTGGAACTCACCATATGAATTTCCCAACAATGAGACTACAGGCATGTTCTTCCTACCCAGCTTTCAAGTGACTTCTTTTTAAGTTTTTCCCAACTAATGAAACTTATTTTATCATATTATAGGCAAAGTGAAAAATTAGTACTGCCTCCAGAGTTCAGACTTTAATCTTGTTTTGTTTTGTTTTGTTTTGTTTTGTTTCGAATACCAAGAGTGGCCCCAGGACAGCCATCACATGCGTTAAGCAAACACACGTCCTAGGCAAGCACTACACTTCTAATCCACCACCCTACCCCACTTCTAGATTCGAGTACCCATATCTGTACATGCTGTGCATCAGAGCACTCTAATGAAAAACAGAGGGTTGAGCACATACTCTAATTTCAGGTATTAAAGGTAATGAAGGCAGTGTTTTAAAAAGATGTTAACTCCATGTACATAAGGAATGAATGTGGGAAACATGGTAATCTCATTTGCAAAATCTCATTTGGGTAGCTGATGGATGTTGATTGGCTTAAAAGGCCTCCAAAAGCTGAATCCTAAGCTGGCAGTATGAAATGATAGTACACAGCATAACTGGCTTTGAAGATCTTCTCAAAGGCTCAAAATATGCTGGTAATTGAAAAAAATACACAATGAAAAAAAAAAAAGATGGATCAGAAGCTAAAAAGAGAAAACATGACTCCCCATCCAAAAAAAAAAAGTTTCAGGATTATCATTTGCAAATGTTCAGATACTGTCTCTGGACAGGAAAACACCAGACACACCTGTGTGTGGTAATAGTACACTGAAAACAAGGGGGAGCTGCAAGTTTTCTTTTTTTCAATTTTATTTTTCTTTTTAGTTACATTTTGTTAACTCTGTGTCCCAGCTGTATCCCGCTCCCTCATTCCCTCCCTAACCCCACACTCCCTCCCTGGTCTCCTCCCTGCCCCTTTCCAAGTCCACTGATAGGGGAGGACCCTCCTCCCCTTTCATTTGACCCTGTTTTATCAGGTGTCTTCAAGGCTGGCTGCAAAGTCCTCCTCTGTAGCCTAACAGGACTGCTCCTCCCCTGGGGGGGGGAGGAGGTCAAAGAGCCTGCCCTTGAGATCCTGTTAGAGATAGTCCTTGTTCCCCTTGCTTTGGAAAACTACTTGGTTACTGAGCTACCACGGGCCACATCCGAGCAGAAGTTCTAGGTTATATCTATAGATGGTCCTTGGTTGAGTGTCAGTCTCAGAAAAGACCCTGTGCCCGGATATATTTGGTCCTTGTAGAGCTCCTATCCTTTCCATATCATACTAACTCCCCTTCTTTCATATGATTCCCTGAGACTCTGCCGAGGGTTTGGTTATGAGTCTTGGTGTCTGCTTTAAAACACTGCTAGTTAGAGTCTTTCAGATGCCTTTTGCGGTAGACTCCTATCATACGTTCAATGCACATCCCATTTGTCTTTCTAAATGAGGATTGATCATCTTCGCCCTTGTCCACTTTCTTGATTATCTTCTTTAGGTGTGTAGATTTCATTATGTTTATATCAAGTTTTCATATGGAATACTGTGATTCTCTTCTGTCTTCCACCCCACCAGGAAACAGTAGAAGTTGGCAGAGATAGGGAGGGTCTTCTGAGGACTCAGACTTAAAAGGAGGTGGAAGATAACGTTGTCTCTGAGGAATCACATCAAGAAGTAGTCAGATGTCAGAGCACACACCTTTAATCTCTGCGCTCAGAGGCAGAGCTGGGCTAGTCTCTGAGTTCCAGCCAGCTTGGTCTACAGAGCAAATTCCAGGACAGACAAGGCTACCTAGAGAAACACTGCTTCAAAAACAAAATACTAAAATACTATCACCAACCACAAAATGAAAAACAAAAGGAGGAGGAGTTGGCGGTGGTGAAGGTGGCAGATAATAACAAGAGTCATCTCTGAAAACAGACTTTTCCAAGAAAAAAGTCACTAACTAAAGTTATCATTTGGTGACTTCCAAGGAAATGTCTTAACCAGACACAGTAGAATAATGACCATTTTTGACAAACTGCATACACATTTCTGATGTTTAGTCAGCGTTTTAGTTGTATTCACTCATATAAGCAGATAGCAAAAGGATCACAGATATCTAAGCATAAAAATATGAAATATACAAATGAAAACGTGCAAGAGAAGAAGAGTAAGGAGAGGATTTATATAAGAAAATGTTTTAAAAAGTATTAGCGTTTATCATTTAAAAATGTCATTTTTTGTGAATATGACCAAGATATTACATACTGAAAAGAAATTTCAGCAAGAAATAAGTCAGTTATTTGAAAATAAGAATATAATAATGATGGAAATTTGACAAAAGAAAAATAGTGACCCTTTTCTAGGGAGCAGGACAAAGCAATAAGGAACAAAGTTGGAAGCCAGGCATGATGGTGCATTCAAGCAACCTGGTACTCAAAATGCTGAAGCAAGAGGATCAAGAGTCCCATGGCTAGCCTGACTACTTAGTGAGACCTAACCCAAAACAAAACAAGACAAAAAATTTGCTAGAGAACAAAATTGCATAGAGAGCCATACCAGGAGATTGTGGTCCATACCATTAATCCTAGCACTTGGGAAGCAGAGACAGGTGGCTGAGTCTGAGGTCAGCCTGGTGTGCAGAGAGTTCTAGGACAGCCAGGGCTATACAGAGAACCCCTGTCTCAAAACAGGAAAACCAAAACCAAAGAGGTATTGAAAAGATCCAATACCCAAACAAGAGGCAAGTTTAGAAAGAACCAAGCAAATAGTGTCATCAAAGAGGATTTGTCAGAATTGAACCTTGAGAACTTAATGCAAGGGAAGAGAATATTCTGTCATTAGGAAGATTCAGCCCTGAAGACCGTGGAAGCTTTTGCTATCTTCCTGAGGTGGAAATAGTTTCCATATAAGGAAAGATATTGTTATATTAAACTTCCTAACGGCAGCTACTTAAGATAGTATTGATGGTACATGGCACTGGTCAGTTCCTAGAAAAGATCATGGAAAGTACACTAAAATCACCTTCTCAGGCAATACTGTCACAGGATTGTGACAGTAGAAGAAGAACCCAAGATCAAGGGGCCTATCTCCCCAATGAACTGTAAAGTGCTCATTGTGTAGACATGAGGCCCAAGTTTAAATCCCTGATACTTACTACAGCCAGTAACATCTGTAATCCCAGTATACCTATGACAAGAGGTTGAGATAGGAGAGTCCACACAAGTTTTTGGGTCAGCAAGCCTGACAACAGCAGAGACCCCACCTTAAGATAGAAGATGAGGGCCAACACTAAGGGTTGTCCTCTGACCTCCACACATGGACCAACACACACTTGCACTCACAAACACGTGAAAGTGTGCACATGCATCTTATAGTCACAAAATAAGAATGGAAGGAGAAAAGAGGAAGGATAGCTAAATGGCTCAGGAACTAGGAAAACCAGCTCAGGAATGGAGGAACAAATCTATGGGCTGTTAATGCAAATCCTCAACTAATAATAAGAAGAAACAGAAGGGCTGTCTAGGTTGGAGAGTCCTCATGATGTTTAGAAAAGAGCTTCGAGAAGGTAAAAACAAGGGCTAGAGGGATGCTCAGTGGTTAAGGCTGCTCTTCCAGAGGACCTGAGTTAAATTCTCAGAACCCACACGGGGGGCTCAACCGTCCATAACTACAGTTTCAAGGTATCTAACGCCCTTTACTAGTTTCTGTGAGTACTAGGCATGCATATGGCACACAGACATGCATGTAGGCGAAACACTCGTACACATTAATGATTTTTAAGAAGAAGGGGAAAACGATGGACTATATAATGTGCTTCATGTGTGAGAGTATTTGAATTGAGTTAGTGTTAAATGTGCTTGAGGAGGAGGAAGAAGGAGAACAAGTAGTAGCAGCAGAAGTAGTAAACAGATGGGCTTGGGTTGTGATTGTTACCTCTAGAGAAAACAAGATTTAGAAGAAAGCATGCGTACCACCTGTCTGAGCCCTGAGGGACACTGACATAACAAGTATTGGCAGCATGAAGGTTGCAAAAGCGTAGCTGCATGGGAGTGTAAGAACTGAAGTCTGAATTACGTGTGTGTGTGTGTGTGTGTGTGTGTGTGTGTGTGTGTGTGTGTAGGTGTGTGTGTGTAGTGGGTTTTAAGTAATTATCTAGAAAAGAATTCCGTGTAAGGAATTGCTTCCAAAAAGAAGCAATGATCAAAGGGATTGTTACCTGTCTTTCTAATAAGCCTGTAAAACTAGTTAATTCTTTATCTACTTAGAACTTATATAAAAATTAATACAGTATTATTAATTGTACCTTAAGAAAACAGATGTATGCATAGGGCCTTCTGTGTTATATGGATTTGCCTAGAGTTAATTTAGAGAATAGGGTTACTACTATTTCCCTTGTGAGGCTGACAGTAGTTTTGTCTTATTTATTATCAGATCAAATCCAGGCTGTGAAGACGTGAAAAGATAGTCTCCAGGAACCAACAAGAATTTCAATTAAAGGAGTCTATATAAAGCATACTGGATAATCTCAATTTTATTTTAAAAGATTTATGCAACCAAGGATATTTTGCAATATTCTGCTTGCTTTTATGGACTCTGGAAGAACTTTTTAAGGGCTTGAGACATTGTTAATCTGGCCATTAGCTATGAAAGCTAATATTTTCTCAAAACTCCTTAATTACCAGCTTCTTGTGAACATCTACACGCTGTTGTAATTAAAATGTGTAAATACGTTATAAGCCATCTCAATATCTTATCGTGATTTATGTCTTTAATGTATTTTTATTTTTAATTGTCTTCTGAAAGTTTATTATATGATTTTGAAGCGTGAATTGTGTTAGTGAAACAGCTTTAAAGATTTATAAGGGATCACAGATAATTAGTATATATGTAATTTTTTTAGTGTCACTAATCAATAAAAATTGAAATATATCAATTAGAGTACTTTTTGTTTGTGCTGAAAAGAATAACGTGTTAGTGTGGTATTTGGTGTTTTACTGTCAAGCATTATCTGAGACTGAGTGAACTGAATTTATTTTTTTGGTGCTTATTGAATATTTCCATACTTTCTGCTCAAACCTGGTCCTGTTAACCTGCATATGTGTATGTCACTTCACAACTATAAAGGTTTGGGTATCTGGTTAGCCCATTTTTTGGGTCATTCATATATGTAAAGTATTCCTTGCCTTCACTGAAATCAATGTAATGAGGGATAATCTGAGAACATTTCATATATGATGGATAAATTTTATTTCATTGGCTGAATGACAATATTGCATCTTCAAATTAATAAATGTAAATTTTAAGAAGTATTTATTATTTTTATAACTGAGTTGTTTTTCCCCCTAAACAAGATTGCATGTTAGTAAGCTTTTTATTATAGCAGAATGCAAGAGATAATTTATATAGAGAGAGGGAGTGGGGAGGATGGAAAGGAGAGAGAAGGAAGGAAGGAAGGAAGGAAGGAAGGAAGGAAGGAAGGAAGGAA